TCACCAAGTTCATGTTTTCCAACTACTGATTCTTCTTCCTTGTTCCCAACTTTTGCATTCCAGTCGTCCATTATTATCAATGCATCTTGATTGCATGTTCGTTCTATCTCTGCCTGTAAAAGTTGGTAGAAATCATCACCATGATAGATGCAGAAAAAATTGAAACAGTCAACACTTCATCTTACTTGGGTACACAATCAAAACGCTTGGTAACAGAATTGGAGATTCAGAGATGTAATGCACTAGGAAAGTCTGCAGTCAGGGACCTCTCCAAATTATTAAGAAGCAATGATGCTAGTTTGAGAAATAAGGTGTGTCTGATTTAGGTCATCATCTTTCTGATGACTTGTTATGCATCTGATTGCTGGACAATGAATGAAGATTACAGAAGAATTTGCTTCTTTGTGCTGTAGTATTAGAGAAGAATATGAAAAATATCTCACAGTCTACCATAATAAATCCAGGCCACAGTCTTTGCAATTACTTTGTATGCATCAGAAAGCTGGGCAATGACTAGAGATGATAGAAGGAAAATTGATGCCTTTGAGCTGTGGTGCTAGAGAAGAGTATTGAATATACCATGGACTGCTAGGAGAACAAACAAGTTCATCCTACTGACCAGGCTACTCCTTTAAGATAAGGATCTGAAGCTTTATCCGACATACTTTGGACATCTTGCAAGGAGGGACCAGTTCTTGGAGAGGGACATCATGCTTGGGAAGGTGGAGGGACAGCATAAGAGAGGAAGATTATCAATAAGGTGAATTGATTTAGTGACTAGGGTAGTAGATGTGTGTCAGGATAGAGCAGGGTTTAGGGTCATTGTACATAGGGTTGCTATAAATCACAGGCAACTTGACAGCACATAACAACAATAAAAGCAATCATAATAAAAATATATGTGTTATATAAAGTAAAGCCAGAGTGCTTCTTGGAAGTAAAGATGGTAAAGCTTTGTCTCACATAATTCACGTCTGGTGCTAGGAAAGGTTATTTTTGGAGAGGGATATCATTTTTAGAAACAAGGAGGGTCGGTGAAAGAAAGGCCCTCAACCAGTTGGATTGATTCAATTACTGCCACCATGATTTCTAGTGTGTCAGGAAGTGTAAGGATAGCACAAGACAGAATACAGTTCAAAACTGTTATTTATGAATCCAGTATGACACATAAAGAACAAAAGCAATTTGCAAGATCTATCACTGAGTACCAGTCTCATTTGGTCTACTGTATTTTCTGCACTATTGACATCATGTTGGGGACTGCTGAAGGCATAGGTGGCATTATTTTATTTAGACCTTGATAGTCTACAGCTACCCTCCATGAGCCATCTGCCTTTTTCATAGGCCTTACAAGGCTTTTCTACAGAGAATTGGTCAGCACAAACACTCCAGCCTTCAGCATGTCTTTAATCAAGGATGTTATGTCTTTTTGTCCTCCAGTATCCTGTTAGAGAGAGTCTGGATTTGTTGTAGCAAACCCCACCACTCTGACACTAATTGCATTCATAATTAATTCTGCTAAGATTAGTAGCAGACCGCTTACAAGAAGTGGGAAGTTAACAGCATTCCAAATGTTTGGTTTACTGTATAAACTATGATTTGTAATGTCAACAATTCTTCCCTCCTTTAGTTCTCCCACTCCTCTTATGTCCTTGAGGTTTTATGGTTCACTATAAAGTCTCAGAGAGATTGAGGCCTTTCAGAGGAATTTAAAGCTACCGTATGAACAATAAAACTGAAGTCCATCCTATGCTGAGCCATCTCCACAATTTCTGACACACTAAGGTAGTGAAAGGAGGTGTGTCAGAGACTAAGATTGACTCAGGATAGAACATGGTTTAGAGACATTGTGCATAGAATTGCTATGAGTTGCTGTTGATTCAATGGCACATAGCAACAAAGGCGCAAATATTGTTGTGTACTGTAGAGTGGTAACTGACCCTACGGCAAGTTTTCAGAGATGGTTAATCACATGGAAGGAGATTGCCCATGCTCCCACAGAGCAGCTGGGGGCCTTGGACCATGTGCTTTCAGGATTGCAGCACAGCTTTTTGCCAATGATTTGGGAGTGAAATTAATGTGAAAACATTTATAAGTTTAATTTATATGAAAAATTCAGGCATTTCACCTATGACTCTTTCCCCACAAAACTATGGAGTATATTACTAAAATTAATGTTCAGAAATTATTCACCATAATCCTATAATTCACTTTATGCATTAGAAAGATATAGAATAATTTCAGATTGTATATAAAGATATTTATCTCCTATTTTTATTGTTTCACTGAATTTTATGGACACAGTCACATAAACAAATCTAGGTTGAATTTTTAAAGGTAAGCATGCAAATAAATGTATTACTTTTTTAAGGACTTTTAAATTAAAAAAAATCTATTATTTATACCATCACTCATTTCTATACAATTATTCATATACATTGTTTCATTCAAGTACATTTGGTTTTATACAATCATTTCTGTACACTGTCTTTTGTGTGTGTGTTTGGGGGATTTGTTCTGATTTATTTACAAAGTTTGGATACATTGTTTTAACAAAAGATCCTTCACCTCACCTACCCATCAAATTGTGAAATCCTATGATTAACTCCCTACCCCCTCACCCAGCCTCACCCCTCTATTTCCACCCTCTCCCCACCTTGGAGCCTCATACTCATTCTACAATAATGGTTTTACAAATGTATTTCTTTTACGTTTTTCAGAAATTCTTAAATATTTCTAGAAGTTTACTACTTTTTATTTACTTCATAAATTAGACTCAATTACTTTTTAATGTTTTTATTATTATTATGGGTGTTTCTCTAACCTGTATCTATTTCTATTCCAATTTCTAATGCACAAAATAATGAACAAATGGTCTTTGGAAATAACTCAAGTTTCCATCAATAAACAAACAGAGAAACTATGGTCTAGTCACACAGTCATATATTATGCAACATCAAAAACAATGAAGAATTGGTGAAACACTGCACAACATGAATGATTCTATAAGACATTATTCTGAGTTTAATGGATCAGACACAAAAAGACAAAGACTCTCTAAGATCACTGTTATAAAAAGATTCACATAGAGAGAATCGATCTAGTAACTATATGAGAGATGGGAAGAGGTGAACGGAAAATTAATAAACAATGCTTATAAAGGTGGATTAAGAGAAAGGCAATACAGAATGTGTAGAAAAATCAGACATTATATATTGTAATTGAAGTTATAGAACAAAAATGCATGTGAAAAATTAGTTGAAAAACCCCATATATTTTTTTAAGCTTTCACTAAAATCAAAAGGAAAAAAAGGTTTTGGTTAGATATTACCTGATGCTTGGATTTCTCATCCAATGCCCTTTCATCCTTTGCCATCGATAATACTTCATTTAGAAACAAATTTCCTAAACACTGACACTATTCTCACTTTAAGTCTGGAAATGTTGCTTTATAATAAACGGAAAAAATGTATACTATGTTTGAAGAATAATACTTGGAGTATGTTATCTAATTCTGATGCAAAACAATCTCATCAGGGGCAAATGTATTTTTCTAAGAACATAATAAGTATAGACTGGATTTTTTTCTGTTTTTTCAAGTTGTCCATTGAGAAAATAATACGTCATATTTTCTTACAAATATCATCAGACATTTCTATACTGTGAAACAAGTTTTGAGTACCCAATAAGCGATAGAAGCATGTGTTTCGCACATTAACACAAAAAAGGTGTTAATTATTCAAAACAAGATACCAAGCAGACAAGACAGTGAAAAGCAAGTGCTGTTTTGAAAAATTGAAGAGCATAAAATGAAAATGATACAAGCCACAGTTAGTAAGAATGTACCAGCAAAACATAAAATTCAAGAATATTGGTACTCATTTGCAAAGATTGTTTAAACTATAAGGTACCTACTACTTTCAACACAAAAATCGATGTGTGTCTCCTGTAGGCCCCTCCAACGGAATTAAATATAAGATAGGCAACTTCATCCCAAAGAAAAAATTATGCTACTACTCTCCCCTCAGGGAGTTCTAGTGTTCTATTGGTTAAGAATTTGTGCTATAATTCCAAATGCATGTGGTTTGAATCTGCCTGCTTTTCCATGGGATAAGGACATACACTCTTCTCTCATGTAGATCAATTCCCTCTGAAAACCTACTGGAGGATTAGCTATGGGTTGGTTCCAACTTGACAACAACACTCCCCTTACACACAACTGGAGGCGGCAAGTCTTTTGTAGAATTTTTGCTTAATGATAGAAATTATTTAGATTTTTTTTAGGGTCCATACATTTCAGCAACACTGTTAAATGTTTCTTTATACATTGTTATTATGTACTATCAAGTTGGAACTCACTTATAAATGGCCCTTTAACAGGTTTTTGAGGCAGTAAATCACATGGAAAGAGATTGTCCATCTTTCTTTCTTGGAGCACCTGTTGGATTAAATAGTGTGCCTTTGGGCTACCATCTCAACTCCTTACCATGAAGCGACCAGAAATTCCTATCCTTATAATAAGACGAAACAAATCACTCATGACCAGGAAATTTTCAGAGTTGGGCAAGTATATGTAAATTGATAGTAGTTTGATCAATAAAATACAATTAAATTATTGAAGAACAAGTTCAGAAAGAGAAATTGAATGTAATAGCAGAGAAAAAGAATATTAGGCATAAAATTAATTTAAATATTAAACATTGACTCTCTTATGAATGAAACTTATTTGAGAAACATCTTTTGACTAAATTCTTAAAGGCTTGTTTAACCTGTTGGTTTCTCAGGGAGTAAATGAAAGGATTTAGCATTGGAGCAACAGATGTATTCAGCACTGCTATACTTTTGGTAAAAGCTAGTCCTTCCTCTGCTGAGGGTTTGACATACATGAAAATGCAACTTCCATAAGAAATGGAGACAACAAACATGTGCGAGGAACAAGTGGAAAAGGCCTTTTTCCTTTGCTCAGCAGAAGGGATTTTCAGAATTGTCCTAAGGATAAAAGCATAGGAAAGCAAGACTAATGATAAGGTGACCATAAGAGTGACTACCGCAAGGACAAATCCCATGAGCTGCAGGAATGTTGTGTCTGTGCAGGAGATCAGCAGCATAGGAGAGGAGTCACAGGTGAAGTGATCAATGATGTTTGAGTCACAGAAATCCAGTTGAAGTCCCATGATCACAGGTGGAAAGATAATAAGAAATCCAGCCAGCCAAGAGCTTATGACTAGCTGTGTGCAGATTTTGTTATTCATTATTGTTGTATAATGCAATGGTTTACAGATGGCCACATAACGATCATAGGACATGGCAGTCAAGAGGAAAAATTCTGTTGAACCAAGGAGAATGAAGAAGAACACCTGGGCCATGCAAGAATTGTAAGAGATGGTCATGTCCCCTGTCATAATGCTGACCAGGAATCTAGGAATACACACTGTAGTAAATGAAATTTCTAGGAAAGAAAAATTCCTAAGGAAGAAATACATTGGAGTTTTGAGTTGAGAATCGACCAGAGTTAGTGTGATAATTGTGAGGTTTCCAGTTATACTGAGTATATATGTAAAAAATAGAAAAATAAAAATTAAAATGTTCAACTGTGCATCATCTGTCAATCCCAAGAGAATGAATTCTGTCACAGATGAGTGATTTTTCATTTTGCTGTTTGTTTGGGGGTTTTTTAATTTCAGTTAGATCTATAAGAGAAAACAGAAAAAAAATATTACTTCAGACTTACTGTTTTTATCACACGTATTTAGAAAATATGTATAAATCTTATGAGAAAATAATATTGCTTGCACTGAATTCTGAAACAATAAAAGTATGAACCCAAGTAAAGTGAATCTATGTCTGTTATATAACGACTAGATGTGTAACATTTCATGGCTTACTTCTTGGCCTACTAAACACATATATTCCAACTCAACTAAACTGTTTCCAGCAAGTCAGAAAGCTGACTCTCCAGCAAATTTTCAGGATGCTATAAATGACACGGAATAAGCTTGCATATCTTTGTCTAATGGACCACTTAGCAGATTTGAATGTAAAAGAATCGCATGACATAGCAGCACAATTAATTTTCTGTGGGTTATGCCAACAACAACTAACATTCCATCAGAGCTCCCTACTTGCTCCATAAAGATACCAAAGAATGAAAAACGTGCTTAGAAACTGGGATTTATTTTAATTTAAAAATTACATGCATGTGAAAACTGGATATAATCTATATAAATGATAAATTATAACTTATTACTTTATTGTTATTAAAGTGTTCTTAGAAATATTCCTAAGTTTTAATGTTTCAATTTTTTTAAAATGTTGTTTTGGAAAAAGTATCTTTTTTCCTTATTTTCTTATTTTTGGTCACTCTATTTTCATTTCTATTTTTAATTGTTTTTAAGGATTAACAACAATTAAAAAATCAAGGCATTTAAAACTCTTCTTTTTATTACTATGTTGTTGTTAGGTGCTGTTAAGTATGACTCATAACAACTCTATGAACAACTTATCTGTACCCTGTTCTGTCCTGTGCTTTCTCATCATCTCTGATACACTTGAGTCCATTGCTGTAGTCACTGTACTAAGTTACCTGGTTGAGGGTCTTCCTCTCTTTCACCAACCCTCCACCTTTCCAAGCATGACATATTTGTATTACTAAAGGTAAACAAAATTAAAATTCAAAGTGATTTTTAAAATTAACTATTAATTTACCATTTTTAAGAAAAGGTTCTGATGGCAAAAGTTAAGTAATTTTAGGTATAATAAAATTATAAACACAATAAATTATTTGATCTATGGAGTATACTTACAATTTTGTAATCCTGTGTGGTAGCAGTTTGATTAAATAGAAAAGTCTGTTAGTTTAATTGAGAATCAAAATATGGTGCTTTATCTCTGGATTACTTCACAGAGTTCATAATTTGTTTTTTCCTTTTTTTTACCAATAATACTCTTATGGCACATGCAGGTGGAATTTAGTAATATAATCCTTGTTACAGGGAGTGAGTTGGGAAATAATATGGAAACATGTCCAATAGAAAACCTATTCTTGAAGAGAGTGACAGACATCCAGACATAAATAGGACATAGACTCAGTTTCTGATGGAAGGTGCTATGTCCAGACCAGAACCTAAATATCTAAGAGATCTGGCAACTTGAGATCCAGCAAAGGGTTAGTAACATGGTGAGAATCCAAGAATCCCAGTTTTCCAAGTGGAAAAATTCCATGAGAGTCCAGCAAGTTGTCTGTCAACTTTATTTGAAAGCCTGAAACACAGGAAGGCTTGTCAAACTGTTCATTGAGTCCTGAGTACTAATTTGTTCTTTAGAAATAAATCCATAGGTCCTGGAAATGCAAGATGACATATGCAAAGTGGACACCTGTCATAGGTTTGAAAATTTATGAAGAAATTACTCCTCATGAAATATCCAGGTTACAAAGAAATAGGGTAGGAATATTTTAAAAAGAGAAATGTGTAATCTGATTTAACAGGCTTAGGGAAATAGTGATGCATGAACAAACAAGTTGAGAAAAAAACCTGCATAGTTTGCTTATTGATAAAATTTTTAGTACTTATGGAAGAGAGGGCTAAGAATTAAATAATTGCTATGTGAAAGAGAAAGAATAATCTATGAATAAGAAGTGAATAAGAAGAAAATGAAAACAAATTACAACTAAAACTATAAAGAAATAGTATAAATTTTTTTTGTATATCACTAGACATTTACTATTTTTATTTCCAAAATTTCACTTTAAAAGGCAAAATCTAAAATTCTGAATGTTAAGGAAACCCACCAAATATAATATTTCACTTGACACTAAGTAATACACGTGGAAGAAATATGGCCATTAAAATAATGTTTCTTCCTCATCTTCCAAAGAAAGAAATTGGTTTCTTATAAATCCTTTTCCTATTGATTTTTTAAAAAATCATAGGGGATTATTGTAATAAAACAGAACTAAAATGTCTCTGGAGAGAGATGTTACTTATGAGCACACTCTTAACAATTTTAATTAAGTATCCTTGGAAATTGCTATTTTTAAACACTACACTTCAGAGAAGTATACTACTTTAAAAAAAGCAATGTGGGAATAAATAAGTTCTAAAATAATTTCGGCTTTAATATTGTGAATATGATATATATTAATTAGAAGTAAGTGCTGCCTTAGATGATAGAATTCAATTACATGGCAATATATGAAAAAGTAAATAGGAGGAGAGAAGAATAAGAATACAAACTTGTTATTAAGAGATCTTGTTTGTTAATAATCAGTAAACAATGTTATAAACAACTTCATTTTACTTACCATATACGTGGTAACTGCAGTCAAGAAATGAAAGATATGTTGAATTAGAAAATCAGCTCTCAATGATCTCTTCAAAATGTGAAAGAGCAAGGAATTAAATCTAAAGATCCAAGCAGGAACTCCTTACAGTCAAAAACGGTGAAACTTTGTCCCTCATACATTGGATATGTTTATTTTTTTCCCCCTCTGGAAAAAGAAATTATGTTGGCAAAGTTGGGGGGTCAGAAAATGAAAAAGACCTCAAAAAGATTTCCATAGTGCTTAAAAGAGCTAGAGAGTGTATCAGAGTTAGTGACCAACTGGGTAGGTCAAGATTCCAGTCTGTTGTTCATAGGGTTGCTATTAACTGTAGGCTACTCAATGACACCCAATAACAACAACATGTTAGTTTTTAATCTTTCAATTGTGCTGATGGTTCTTACACTGTGTGGTTCTTTTACTGAACTGGTAAACAAAGACCTGGTTTTTCATTCTTCTAACTTCATGTGTGCTAATGTTTCATAGACTGGAACTATTCACATTGTCTAGACCAACTTCAGTGTGAAAGACAACTATGAAAGTGGAATACAAGACAATCATAGTTTTGGAGAGGCCATCAAAAGCACAATAAACATAGTATCTTTTAACATAGAAAAGACAAGAATGTTTAAATTTATGTAGAAATACTATCCCTAATCTTTATTTTATTCATGACAATGTAGATGTTATTTGGCTAAAATTATAAACTAATATGAAACAAAAAAAAAATTTGCCTCTTTAGACTCAAATTATGTTATAGATAGATAAATAGATGATAGATAGGTAAATAGATGACAGATAGATAGAAAATATGTATATATATATGCAAAGATGTCAGTCTGGAGACTAATGTGCACCTTATATATGCCATGGTCTTTACAATCACTTGCTATGCATCAGAGAGTTGGACAATG